GAATCATTTTTAACAGGGGTAGGGCAACACAGGCAATATTGGTTACAAAAGCATGAATATACATAAACGCGCCGATGAATAAGCGCTGAAGCGCGCCGACAACAGCGCGCCGGCAGAAGCGCGCTCTAACCCTAACCCTAACCCTAACCCTAAACCTTACCTTAACTTAAATCGCGCTTCTGTCGGCGCACTTTTGTCGGCGCGGTTTTAGGGCCGCGGTTTTGTTGGCGCGCTTTTGACGTTCACGCATTTGTCGGGTCACGGTGTAACAGCACATTGACATGTATGTAAAACACAAATTCCCTTGCACTAGGCGTTCCAACAGGATTTTGCAATAATGTACAAGATTACCTTTGAAAGCCTTTGGGTCAGCTGCTGAATAAAAAGAATATTCAAAAAGGACTTGAACGCTCCGAGTCTCTTTGCGATTTCTGGCGTCAAAAGGAAGGCAATTCTGTTGCACATGCAGAGGTATTTTTATTATCCATTCCCCTAACCCCCCCCCCACTCCAAAGAGCCACAAATAAAAGGAGGAACTGATCATGATAAAAATGAGTTACCGTAAAGGACAGCACAAGCCTCAAATCATTTCCACTTTAATTCCAAATTAATAACTTTCTAAGTGGGCAGATTTAAAGATCTCGCTAATGTTAAAGGTAAAGGCTCCCCTCGCATATATGTGCTAGTCGTTCCCAACTCTAGGGGTGGTGCTCATCTCCATTTTAAAGCCAAAGAGCCAGCGCTGTCCGAAGACGTCTCCGTGGTCATGTGGCCAGCATGACTCAACGCCGAAGGTGCATGGAACGCTGTTATCTTCCCACCAAAGGTCCTATTTTTCTACTTTGCATTTTTACATGCTTTCGAATCGCTAGGTTGGCAGAAGCTGGGACAAGTAACGGGAGCTCACTCCATTACGCGGCGCTAGGGATTCGAACCCCTGAACCTCCGTCCTTTCTGATCGACTGAAATCAAAAGCAACAGGGAAATGCGTCACCTTTTCTTGAGTGCCCAATGTTAGTACTTTGTGGTACGTTGAGTATTTTAGGCCTAAACTGTTTGTTTTGGTTTAAAAAAAAAAGACACCCAGCTTTTAGCAACGAGGAGAAAAAGCTGTAAATCTGAACTGTACATAACTGCTTACATTAACCGATACTCAAGGCAGAAGTTTCCGCATGATTACTAAAAATTATTTTCTGAATCCCACAAAGCCCCTTTGCTTCTACTTTAAGAAGGGATGGACAGAATTCTAAAACAGCTTTGAAGTAAAAAAAAAAAGCACTCAGTAGCCCCTTCAAAGCAAACGACTGATTCGCTGTTGAAAAGATTTCAATGTTCACCTTTATTAAATGTGCACTGGTTTATGTCCCTGTTAACATTAGCAGTTCGCCACACTGATTTGCCTTTCAGGACAAGCCCCAGGCCAGGCCTTTGCTGAGAAGTCTCTGAGAAATGGGATCAAACAGCTGCATTAATCCCCAGTTACTGGCACTAGAGGAGCTGGCATTAAATACTGAAGGGAAAAGAGCCAAGGGTGAAAATCTGACCAACAGATAGTGGGACAAGACAACTGTTATTCAACAGCTTGTAAACACAATCAGGAGCTTTTTATCTGCAAGAAAAGAGGTTCTATATTACGGCAGGACTCAATTAATTTCCCCAGTATAACATGCCAGCTGCTGTAGAGAAATAATATTCCTCACCCTGCATTAATAGGCTTGCCGCTCCTTCTAGAAGGCAGAAGAACAGTCCCAGGCACAAGTTTAGGTTGCAACTAGGAAGCTGTGGAAACTTCTCAAGAGCACACTGGCATGTCCCAATTAAAGATTCCCATTCGGGTTTTCAGCTGAAGTGAAAGCAGAGCCTCCCAGAGAAAGGTTTGATAATGGTCGAGGAGGTGATTGACAAATAAAGCTTTAACTGAAGGAGCAATGTCTGAGTGGAGACTAAGGAAGTTTATACAAGTTTATAATCTGTGGAGGACAGAACAGGGAGGAGACAGGGCAGGAAATATAAATGGGAGGGGAAAAAGTCAATATTTGCTAATAAAAGAAACAAACAGAAAGTAAAATATACTGTACGTCACAGACTTCGCTGTTCCTTTCACAGGCTTAAGTAAAGGTAAAGGTTCCCCTTGCACATAGGTGCTAGTCGTTCCCGACTCTAGGGGGCGGTGCTCATCTCTGTTTCAAAGCCAAAGATCCAGCCAAAGACGTCTCCGTGGTCATGTGGCCGGCATGACTAAACACCGAAGGTGTTCCCTTCCCACCAAAGGTGGTCCCTATTTTTCTACTTGCATTTTTTACGTGCTTTCAAACTGCTAGGTTGGCAGAAGCTGGGACAAGTCACGGGAGCTCACTCTGTTACATGGTGCTAGGGATTCGAACCACCAAACTGCCAACCTTTCTGATCGACAAACTCAGCGTCTTAGCCACTGAACCACCCTCCTTATGTCCTATCAGATGGGAAATTC